ATCTTTGCCAAAACCCTCAGACTTCACTTGATCAAAACTTTTTAAGTTTCTTCATGAGGAAACAGTTAATATTAACATTACCATTATTTTCTCTTTGAGTTACATGTGATATCCATTTTAGATGTTATTGCTATTCCTCAAGTGATATGGTTTCTTTTATCTGTTTTGTTTGTGATTCTGCAGTGCCAGTGCATAAGATTCAAAGAAGTATGGTCCTTGCCAAGACCTACAGGCTTCATTCAATCAAAGCCATTTTTAAACATTGATCTTAGAAAGTGGTTGCCTATAGCTAACAGTTTAGATATTTTTGAATGGTTTGGTGCCATGCATGACATCAAAATGAAAGTCACAGTCTGATGAGGATATTTAAGAACATGACCTGAGTTTTCAGGTTAATGTTTTGTAGCCATTTGTAATGTTGGGTGAATATACAGCTAGCATAGCATAGTCTATATTCAATTTCCTTATCTCCTATATGAAATTTAATCCATAGACTGAAGTATTTTAGAATTTCTTGTAAAAGGTTGAAGAAATATTTTCCACAATTGTAAATAAAGCAACAAAGATATGAATAAAAATTAATTGAATAGATGACAAGATGACAAGAATGAATTCCAAAGATGTCTATATTCTTCATGACTTAAAATTGCTTGATTTACAAGATTCCTTATTATAAAGATCTTTCCTCTGTTTTACTGGAAAATATTAAACAAACAACAATTATAAGCAGTTTCTATATAAAGCTAAACCAGGGCTTATCTTTGATAACCTTGAAGATTGTAAAAATGTAAGAGTCAGACATCTCAACAGGTGTTCAAGAAAAGCAATTTTTTCAAGACAATGTCAGTATAAATGTATAGAAAAAATAAAAAAGCTTTCTAATGGAGCAAGGCAAAGTCATAAAAAACGGCTTCAAACAGAATCTAGTTATTTATATGTATATATTCATATGTATACATAGCTAAGTGTATAATATATAGTAAAGAGTTATACAGACTTAAGGGGGTGCTGAAAATTCATGACTCAATCCATTACATAAAATCTGACCACATGACGAAGCATAAATATTTTTGTTGAATTCCTTTTTGGTTGAGCTGTGAACTTTTCAGCACACCCGAGTATGCATATTTATAATTAGTCCATTTTATAGATATATAAATTTTAGCTTTGTTCTTTTACATTAAGCACTGATAGCACTGACTGTATTACTTATATGCATACAAGATGTGTTCAAAAAGTATCCAACTTTATTTTTTCTCACCAAAACAAATGCTGCTTGGGCAAAATATGTTGGGTGTGCAAGGTGAGGCCAGCCTTCCTGTGTACATGAGAAAACTTTCATGCCAGTAGGCTGTGTCAGTTCTTGACTGTTACACCTAGAGTACAGACATGTAGTGCACACTCATCAGAATTTTGCTTTCACACAAGATGACTGAACCCACTGAACAGAGATGTTGCACCAAGCTTTCCTGGTCAAGAACAATACACCACTTGTTTTACAGACTCCCTATTCTCCTGACTTGGCACTGTGTGATTTCTGGCTCTTCCCCAATCTGGAAACCATGCAATTTCCATGCAGATTTGCTTCTGCTGCTCTGCCAGTACCTTTGGGAATTAATTGTGCCGACACTCTCCACATGCACTAATCATCCATTAATATGAAATGCACTGATCCTGTGCTTACTCCCACCAGCTTGTGGATAGCCAGCCTGAGCTAGCCTTTCCACTGTGGTGTGGCCCTGTATGTTCAGTTGTACCACACCTAGATCTGAGTTTTAATCATAGTATCATTGCCAAAGACCTGCTGAATTTTCTGGATGGTTTGAGCTTGAGTATTGCAAGCTTTTGGCAAAAAAAGATGCAATATCTCCACTCAATGTGTTCAGTCATCTTGCAAGAAAATGAAAATCTGACAAATGTGCACTACATGTCTGTACTCTAGGTGAGAACTGATGCAGCTTACCAGTGGGAAAAATTTTCATACAGGCACAAGAAAGAATTTGCCTATATGGCATTAGTTTTAGCAGGAAAAATAAAAATCAAATAATTTTTAAATGCACCTTGTATGTATGTATGTGTATATATATATATATATATATATATATATAGGGAGAGAGAGAGAGATTGATTAAAGTGACAGGCTGAGAGGGGTGGGAAAGGAGGGTACATAGTTATTACATTGATTGAAAAGCGTCACTCCATATGTAAATAATCCAGGTACTTTTAATGGGTGTTTTTGCTCATATATATATATATATATATATATATATATATATATATATATATGTACACACACGTTCATTCATAATTGGAATGGTAATATTAGAAGGAAATATTCAGCATTCAAGGACTAGGCAGCCAGTACTAAAATTTTTCTCTTTTTCAGGAAAATAGGTTTCTCAAGTCCAGTAGATGAACCTTTTGTTTGAAGTAGTGATGTATGTTAACATTGCTTTGTTTATTTCACCAGTCCACAAGGTTTGAAGAAGGACAGTCTTTATTAATCCCTGCAGGTAGTGCTGGATATGAGGCCCTTTGCTAGTAATGTTATAAGGCACCTTACTTGGGCCCTGAAGTAGGTATGCCCAGCATGCCTATACAGGCATAGAAGGAAGATGGGGCTTCACTGGCCAGTGGGGCCCTGTGCTTAAGCACACCTAAGCTTAAGTTCACCACTATCCTTGAGGACACATGGTCCATTTGATAAAGGTGTTGATTAGATCCAGTAACTAGACCCAAAGAGTTGTGAGTTAAATATCAGGCTACTGCAGTGGTGAACCATGGCACATAGAACTAGAACAATCTACCTTGGTGGATGAAATAAAGGGTTTGGTTCAACGTGAAGAAGGCTGGAGTGTACAACGGCCAAAACATAGTGAATATGGCAATGAAGATCAGGATGACAGTCCGAATAATGTAAATAATGATAATAACTCATCTCAGACATATAGACAGAAGCTATTTAATATTTTCAAAATGTTCCCCTTTAGGTTCAATACAGTGCTGCAGTCTTTCAGCAACACTTCTACAAATCATTTGACACATTTCTATATAAATTCATAAGATATATCATAAATTGTTTGTTTTAATTCTGTAAGCAATCTGGGATTGCAAAGGATATGTTTGTCACAGATTATTTCCACGTCACCGAGAATAAATCACGAAGTTCAAACTCGAACATCGGGGACAGAAAGAAAACGCTGAAAACTCAATTTGCAAGTACTATTTCACAAATCACAATGCACACAACCATTCAGAAAAATAACTCCCTCGCCAACCAGCGTGACAGCCAAAATCGCCGACTTTTATCCCGCTGAATCGAGAACACCAACTCCTTTTATTGGCTGAACATTTTTTTCTATTCATCGACAGCTGGGAGAGGATGTTCAGTAATTTGCATATCAACATACTTTTATAGTGACTCCTGCAACAGACTTGTTTTTTAATTCAAATATTCCATCTTCAGCATGTCATGTGGAATACGTGCCCTTTTGTTTGGTAAGTAATTTTCTTTTTCGTCACATTTTCTGTTGTAGAATACATGCGACACGCTGTCACTTGGTTTGATGAGGTAAGTCACCATTTTCTTCGCTATAAATTCAAGAATTGTTTTCGGTTTGAGCCTCAAAACAAGATCTTTCAGTACACCTCACAAGAAAACGTCTGGTGGTGTAATGTCTGTTGATCGTAATGGCCACTCAGTTACTTCACATCATCCTATACATTTCAACTCAAAAACAAGTGTTACTTTTAATGCACTCTGTATATATAAATGTGTATTCGCACACGCATGTACATAATGCTACAAGTCTTGCAGACCATTGCTTGTAAGTTTTGTCCCCAAAACATGATGTGGGCCTTTTTGCCAGTTTTTTTTTCAATTAAGTGAAATTCCCTCTCTCTCATTCCCTCTCTATTTCTCTGTTCTTGTGTGTATATATATATATATATATATATATATATATATATATATATATATTCTCAGGTAGTCTAATTGTTTACTACCTATCTACAAATCTACCTCAGTTTTCACATCTGTTTTTGTGAGCATATATATATGTGTATATAGATGTGAATGAATGCCATTTTTTTTTACTATTTTTAATTGAGTTGCTTGTGAATTATCTAGTCTAAAGTACCAGCAAAATTTTCATCTTTATCCATTAAGTGGATTTTTTTTCCCTTTCTGATTTCCTTTATATTTTTTGCTCACTGTATTTCTTCCCTGTATTTTTTTTTTTCCATTTAATGTTGTTTGCCATTCTTGAACACCTGATGTGTTGTCTAGAATTCCTTTCACTAACTTATTTTACTAAAGTCACGGGTGTTAATTGCTTATTAAAATTATAAGTCTGTAAAATATCCTCTTTAATGTTTGTTTTTTTTTTGTGGGAAGGGGTTTAGTGTTTGTTTTTTCACATTTTTCATGATAAAATTTTTTTATGCCCATAATCTTGCATATATTTTACTTTTTGATTCTTTCCTTTTCAGTTAGAAAAATTTCATACTAGGATGTTCAATTTGTATTTTTCTGGTCTCAAGAAAAGTCTGTATAGCATCAAAGGCCACCTGGTTACCCATATCTTCTTGATTCTTCTATATACCAGTGCATCCATGTGAGATCTTAGTTCTCCACAGTTTCTGTCCTTTGAAGCTCTTAGTAAATTTTGTCTTTTTGCTATAATGTTTTGTTATTGACAAGTTAAAATATTTGATGAAGAGTAATTGATTCATTCCTTTTCTACAGTTTATCAACCACTTTGCAGGTTATTTAAAGCCAGAAAATATTTTTGGATTGTAAGATTTTTTTTGTGACAGGGGAGATAATAATGATCTAGTGATGTAAGATTTAGTAATTAACTCATAGTTGGTGGGAGAAGAGCTGCATTCTGCCTTTCCCAAGGGTAAATTCATATAAATGAACCTAACAAGAATTTGAACTCTGCTCTCGGATTAAGAATTCTGAACCATTATTCATTACACCATCCACATATCCAATCTTACAGCACCTTGTATTCCCAAGCAGTCACCCATCTATGTACTGACCAGGCTCGACATTGCTTAACTTTGGTGATTGTATGGAAAATGGTGTCTTAATGTAATGTGTCCATAAGCTCTTTAGAAAAGATAGCAAAAAGACAAAATTTACTAAGATCTACAAGGAACATAGGTGAAGATGAAGAATATACTAAAACAGTTGTTTCTTTATATAAAATATTTTCAATGGTTAGTGATATAATATATTAGTACTGACTTGTATCAAATGTAACCATAAACTAAACATTATAGTTTTTCCTGTTCTATGACCACAGCAGTGTATCTAAATAAAGGTAGTTCTGATAAGTTCCTGAAATAGGAGAGTTCTTAGGTATGTAATGCTAATCTAGTCACATCTTTTGTCCCTAACCAACAGAAAACAGATAATTTGAAAAGGATTCAATGAAGACATGATATCAGAGAGGCAAGAATTTGTGGTCTGCTTATTACTAGGGGGCAATTTGTCAATGATGACTTAAGATTTGCAATGATATAAATGAATGTATAATAAAGAGAAACAAAAATAATTTAACACATATATTATAACCGTAGGCAACTCTTTCATGCCCTTGTATCCTAATTATGGGAATGTACAGTACAATGTGTGAACAGTAAATCCCTATCCAATGCCCAAAGTGTGGGAATCCATATGATGAAAAGTCTGTGGGCAGTTGGAAAAGCAAAGAACTTAGGTAATGGAGTGAGTAATGCCTCTAAGGAAGATTTGCATCGATATTTTGATTTTTATTAAGATGTGTACATTGAGACATACTGATACTCAAGATATATATATATATATATATATATATATATATATATATATATATGATAGTAGGTATACACCTTGAGGTCATTCTCAAAGACATGCACACATACAAGCATGTACATAACATGTAAGTATTTATTATATATATTCAAGCATCTATGGTATATATACATATGTGTGTGTATACATCTGTATATGTAAATGTACAGAAATATGACAAAGTAAACAGAAACCACTATTTTAAAATGAGAGCATTTATTCAATTATCTGCATAGTTCAATGGTATTTTATTATAAAAAGTAAAATATGTTAGGAAGTGATTTTAACAACTGACAGAAAATATGACGCTGAAATCCAGAGCATATTGGAATAGTGAAAGATCCCTTCAAAAAGCTAAGTAAAGTATTAAGAAACAGGAAAATCTCATTAGAAATGCTGAACTGTTATGTCATATCAATCTTTTTACTTGAGACACATGATAAAGAAAAGAGGGCTTGGAGCATTCAACATTCACATGTCATACTGAGCAACAAGAGGACAGATAGAAAAAGTGCATACCCCCCCCCCCCAATGAGCTTGTGTAAATGGATGGCAGAACAAGGAGAGAGAGAGAGATTATAAAAAGACAAACATTACTAAGAGCTACAAAAGATAGGTAGGTGTGGAGAGTCATGATCACCCAAGTCCTGAATGAACATAGCACATAGAAGAAGAATAGCTAAAGACTGTAACTCACTTTGTCAATACAAAACAGGTTCCAGACATGTAGCTTAGAATTCTTTTTTCGCAATAATATTCACCTAGTACAAGGCCCAAGAGCCACTCAAGGTAGGAAGTTACAGAGTAAGAGGCACAGTTTTTAGGGATATGTGGGGAAGATAACGGTTAACTCATGACTTGAATGTCTGAAGATTAAAGAATACTTGTTACTCCACAGATAGTGCAAAATAATTCTAAAGTTTTTCTTTATGAATTAAATGCTTGTTATAGATTTTAAGTCATAAATCCACCATCTGGGGGTTAATAAAAAGGTAAGCTAGATATATTTTGAGGGCAGCCAGTATAAGTGAATTCAGAAAACTGTGGAGAATGCAATCAGAAAGGACTCCCCTGTCTTTCCTGAGAAGTCATGTCCATTTACAGTTCATGAATAGGATGAATGTATAGAGACATTGTTTTTAAAGAAAGAATAGATTTTATAGCTGAGAGTTCAGTCAAACAACAAAGACAGGAACTTGAAAAATTGATCTGGTTTTATTAGTTCATAAATAGATAATGTTAGATATTAGAGACTCACCTTCATTTTAACAATAACTGTATGAACCAGTAGAAAGACTATAGAAAATGCTTTTTTATGATTACTCGAAAAATGTACTATATATATATATATATATATATATATATATATATATATATATATATATATATATATATATATATACGTTTATAAACTGATTTCATGTATAGTGTAACCCCTGAATTTTTTTACATGAATTTTAAACCCACCAGAAAAAAATTAACTGTGTATAGAGTGATTCCCACATTTTTTGCATAAAATCTGATCTTAAAAACTGACACATGACTCCAGTATATATGGCAATTTGACATTTATTTATGCAACATGGGGTTATTCATCATAGTGTAAATAAATATATACAGTAGTTTATTTATTGATACTTATTTCTACCATAAAAAAGATTGTACAGTGGTTTATATACCTGTGTATAGTGCAACTGGTTACCTAAAATGTATGATTTCTAACCTCTTCAAAAATATTACCTCTGTATAGTGCAATCCCCCATTTTTTGCTTAAAAACTGATCATGAAAACTTCCACTATACTCAAGTATATAAGTTAGTAATATATATATATATATATATATATATACACACACACACACACACACACACACACACACAGAGGATGCGATGGATAAACTGTCGTCTAAATTATACAAAAAATGAAAATGACACTGATATATTTACCAAAATTTCTCAAAAATATTTTGAAATTCTAAAGAGTAATTATTCAATAAAATCGATAATAAATATATTATATAAAGATATAATTATTCAATAAAAAATGTAATTATTGAATATAAAAATATAATTATTCAATAAAAATATAATTAAAAGAGAAAGTATATTACTTCGATGGAAAATTCTTCAGAGTGCTACTATCGAATCTTACCAAAATATAAATTTGTGCCCCCAGCCTTTTCAAATATCTCCTTTTCTAAAACAAATAATCTTTCCCAAGTCAACATACATGACTATAAAAACTTTAAAATATTAAAGGAAAATGGTTAAATTCAAAAGGTTCTATTATTTAAAATATATAATACATAAGTTAGTTTCTCAGAATAAAATAATATAAATAATAATTACATTATATATATATATATATATATATATATATATATCACATTTAATCACCAGTTACTTATCATCACCTGAAGAAATACAAAGTATTGAAACATGAAATCTTTTGTGTAGCAATTTCAACATGTTTTTATTATAACCTCTTATAATATATATATATATATATATATATGAAGTATATTCATGAATATTTTTAATTTAAAAATTTTTAAAAAACTAACAACATGTATAAAGACTTTATGCAACATCCTTACATTTGACTTGATAAAGTCCATCAGAGGATGAAACACATTGGCTAAGCTATCCTTTTGTCTTTATTCATTGCTTTTTACAGATATATTTTAAATCATATTTGTGCTGTCATGCAGAAAAACTGGGCCATTTGTATTCACAAATCTAGGATGCTTTTTGCTGAAATATGACACATCAACCTTATTTAAAGGGAATAAATCATACAACAACATAAATATATGAAAAGTCTTTGTATAAAAACACTTGCATATTAGTATATATTTTATATTCAAATTCTTAAAGTTAGCATGTATCTTCCTGCAAAGGACTAGGTACAAAAAAAAAATAATTTTGTACTTATCTGTTTGGTTTGACATGAACCTGAAATTGTGTGTCCTGTTTCTATAACTTCATGAGTAAAAACAGAAAGATTGAATTTCCTACCTGATAATGTCTCATGAATATTTATAATTAATTTTTATTGTTAGTTTTGTTTGATTCAAGGGGAGATAACGGTTTGTCTCTTGCTACAAACCTCCCCACCTAGTAGCAGAGTCTAGTAGTAGTGATATTAGTTGTCTCTTTTCCAAGAAACTTTCCTACTTGCTTTTGTAGAACTAGGCTTACTATTTCTAACTCTGTATTTCTGTATCTGTCATTATATCATCACTGTGAGATTGCTTTTTTGTTATTATTTGCTTATCATTTTTATGTTCAACTTATAGTTTTAATCTATCTATTGATACCATTGACTGTATCTTATTGTTTATTTTAATTACAAAATATTTGCCAATTCTATGTAACACTTTGAAGGGACCAGTGTAAGGGGCTTCCAGAATCTTGTGAGCTTTGTCTACTCTTAGCCATACACTATTACATGTCTTAAGCTTGTCAGGAATATATTGACATGATTTATTTACAGAGCTGTTGAATGTAAGGAGTGTAAGGTATGTTGTAACTCCTTAGCAAACTTCTCCTTATTTGTGTTATCATTAGTATCATCTACTAGCAACTGAGGAATAATTATATGTGTTCCTGTAACTGTAAGGAGGGGTGAAGTGTTGGAAGAATTAGAATCAGCATAGATACCCATTAGTATTATTGGAAGGGTGTCCAGCTTTCTAGCTATTAATGGTGTCTTAATTGTTCTATGTGCATGTTCAATCATTCCGTTCATTTCCAGGTGATAACTAATCATGCACAATCTATAGGAGCCAACTATTGAGGCTATCTCTGAAAAAAAATTGCTCTCAAACTGAGTACCATGATCAGTTATCATCAAGTGGAACACCCTCAACATGTAACCTATGCATGAACAAATGCATTGGCCACATATTGTTCTGTTGTATCTGGTAGTGGTTCTGATACAATCCACTTAGTGGTGCAGTCAATACAGGTTAACATATATCTGTAAGGAGCATTGTATGTTTTATAACAATTATATCCAAGTGAACTGTATTAAAGCTAATAGTAGGTAATTTAATAGGGTGAATAGCAGATATAATATGTATCTGAATTTTGCTTTTCTGGCAAGTTTGATATTAATTACAAATTTCTTTTATTGTCTTGTCCATATGAGGTCAAAAAAATCATTTTGATAAGTTTACCTGAGGTTTCAATTCCTGGGTATCATATTGCATGATTACTATCGAAAATAGATTTTCATAATTCACCAGGTATAT